AGGACATGTGGCTGTTGATTCCATTCAGTGAACCCTCTGTATTGACCGCTGATTTCAGTCATGGAAACGATCTGCCCACCGATACCGCCTCATCACCGCTGTGGTTGTATATAGTTACGGAGCCCAGTTTATCGTATTGTGGTAGATGGCCGATGGCTCTACAAAAAGCGAAAGCTTTTCTTAAACATTTATAAAAGATATATTTACTCTGAGGATTCTTGTGTAATATGAAATTATAGCTTTTAGTGAAGCGTGTGTGTGATAAAGATGACAAAAAAATTTAGGATAGAGGCAGTAGAATCTAATGTATATAAAAAATGGCTCCACATTGACTGAATCTGTGGTATGCGTTACTGTTGGTAGTTCGAGTTTGCGTGGTGAAAAAAAAATGGATCTCATAATCTGACAGGTAAAAGTCTTTTAATTCAACCTTCTTTTAATCCGACATAATGCTGATCCGTATCAAAATCAGAGAGTTATTAATGCGGAAAATATACATGTAGTTTTCTTGGTGACTGAATTAGCTGCGTACTTGCGAATGCGTGTAGTAAAAACAGAGAATCTTGCCTTTCAAAGCAGGCTCCCCATCTGGACATCAAGAATAACTGATTGCGGTTTTCAAATAAAACCAGGAAAAATTTTAAGATCTGAACCAACGTAATGGAAAAATCGTTTAAATGATAAATAAACGAAATTTCACGAGGGCTCAAATAAAATTTATTTCAGTGAACAGAATGAAACTTTAAATGTATATTTTAGTAATACTAAGATATTAATTAGAACTAGTAAAAATTAAGTAACAAATTATACCCACAGTTAAAGATATTTAATCGAAATGATATGGTAAGAAGTAATATCTCTTGTAATGAAAAATATTCCTTCAAAAACCAGGCATCCCCCCCAACAAAACACAGATGCTTAAAATCGTCTCAAACATGCATACAGATAAAAAAATAATAATCTCAAAACAAATAAAAGAAAAATGTGTTTTAGTGCATGTCAAAATTGATTAGGCATATTATCCTTTTCCTTGATAGGAAATTAGTTTTTGATTATCCTAATTGATTTTGCCAGATGAGAGAAAATGGCTCGGATCCTGCCTGTACCGACAATTTATCAGCTCTGTCAAGTTGGATAAAAATAGCCAGTCACTATAAAAATATGTAAAAAAAAAAAAAAAAAAAAAAAAAGTATCTGTCGTTTCAGTTTGAACAAAATTTATTAGAACATAAGCGTTGCACTAAATGAAGAAGTCTTTTTACCCTCCCAGGTGTGTCGATCGTCATTTCAAAGAAATAAGTGATCTTTGAAGATTTCTGGTCAGTGTCGTAATTACATAAGGCAAAATAAATCACTTATTCAAACTCCCATAATAAACATTTTATTACTATTTGTAGTTATAGTTATTTTAACCAAACAGATACATGAGATTTTACAAGTATTAAATAAAGGATTTTCTTTGGTTTAAAATGTTTGACCTTTTTTAAGTTAATTTGTGATGTCGGATTTAAGAAATCCTTGAAACTAAGTATCAGCTTATTTCTTTCAAGGACAAAAAAGAGGGAGAGCGGAAACACATGAATAACGACATAAGGGAAACACAACAAGAATAGGGAGAAGCAATGAAAATAATGGAGGATTTATGCAAATCAGAAAGAAGCTGAAAATACTGATTGAAACGAATTAAGAGGGTAAAGAAAACAAGGTTACTTAAGAATTAATCGAACAAAACGAAGAAATACTGGCGGGAAGGAAATAAGAGGAAGTGGTGGTAGGTGCAAGAAAAACGAAAAAGGGGGAGAAACAAAAGTTAAAAAGCAAGGAGGAGAAAAAAAAGAGAAGTTTTAAAAAGATAGAACAAGGTGAAAAATACCATGAAGGATGTAAAATCATGTATAATATTAGTCAAATATCAAAGCTAATTTTAATTTCTCTTTCAAAAAGACACTTTGTAAATTGTTTATTTTTTTCCCAAAATACGATCAAATCATTCAGTGTTTTAGCTGCCTATAAAAGATATAAACAGGCAATACAAATAAATGAGACACAAACCAGTGTGTGCGTGTGTGTTTCAGAGGACGAAACGCGTCGACTAAGTTTTTCTTTTGCCTTTATATATAAACTTTAAACGTTATTTTTAGTTGATACTCGTATTTGAATAGGCGCTCAGCTTATTTATTAAACAGTATATTTATTTTCGTCTATCGGCCTGAATGTTCGAGAAATCATATTAAAGAAAGATTGCGCTCTCCGGCAGGATTCGAACCTGCGTCTCTCAGTGCAGAGGGAGCTGCCGTTTATATAGATAAGAAAATAAAAATCAAAACTTTTCAACATGACATTCGTCTTTTCGTCTTTTTTTAAAAAAAAGTGTCAATAGCCAAACCCTGGATTATGATTTTCAAACTTGGATAGGATCGAGAACATGTCAGTTCACCCTCAATATGATTAATACATGTACATACTCTTAAATATATGCATGCACACTGATGCATATAGGCATACTAACTCCTGAATAAATATGTGAATACGCACGACAAAAGGTGACCTCCCCAATTATATTTTTTAGAGTTAAATTCATCTCTTGTAATTTAAAACATTTTAACAGATACACACATATATGTTGGAGGCGATTCACAGTAAGACAATGATTATCAAGCTTGTTTTATAAAAGATACGCCATATCTCGCGATCTGCTGATATACTGAAAACGTAAAGTCTATAATGAATTTGTAATACAAGATATGATGTAGGGACGTGAAGTATGGAAACTAACAAAATCGCTTGAAAACTTAGAAAAGCATAAATATCAATGGAAAGAGAAATATCCAATGATACTCTAAGAAAGAGAAACTGGTTGAAGAGTCTAGCGGAAGTTTTAAAAATCTGTATGGACACGCTTATTTTTGTGACCAAAAATAGACATGGTGTTAGATCTCACGATCAATGAGAATCACTCGCAGGAGGCTATAAAAAAAGGGAGTAACAGTCACATCGCTCTCTTTTCAGACTTTAGTCACGTGGGTCTTTTTATTTTAACGGATCCTCAAAAGTAACGGACGTCACGTCGGCAACTCCAGAATGCAGCTTTTACAGACAGGACACGAGTCATTGTCCTGGGAAGAAGACTGAAATTATTGTACCATTTCAGGTATATATATATATATATATATATATATATATATATATATATATATATTATATATATAAGTTTTGTTTGGGCACCTCGAGGCGATGTAATGGTTAGAAAGCTTGTCTTGCTAGAACAATTACGACTGAGTAGTGACTTCGATCCTCACTGGGTGTTCCATACTTTCGGCCTTGTGTTACATCTAAGCTATGCTTGGAAAATCAATATATACAGTTCTAGTTTTTTTTTGTTTTTTTTGGCTTGTAAAATTGTTTTCTGTTTCACAGACACACACGAAGAATACTTTGATTTTATTCACTGATTTTATCACAGCTAGCATGTTTTCACCTTTTCCACCCCCGCCCACTAATGTACCTTCCAACTCCTACTATAATTTTACGTGAAGTACAGAGATATCGGTCGTAACGGCCAGGCAGAATGATCACGTGGTCTTGTCTCCGTATAGTTTATGGAGTAAATTTTAAAAGGTTGCAAATGTATCAATAGCAAAGAGTTGATAAGCATAATTCCCACAAGGTTAATATGGATTATGATACAGACTAAGAAATATAAAAGTGACTAAACAAGAACAAATGCAAGTAGGTGGGATACGTAGTAAGAAGCTAAAACAATGGAACAAAAGGTTACTTGATTGGTGTCCCATAGGTAGAAAACAGAAAAGGAAAAGTTCAGACAGTAGACATAGCAGAGAATAGAAATTATATGGAGGATTTGTGAAAGGCCTTTGTTGAACAGTGGACTCACAATGGCCGAGGAAGATAAAATGTCGTCATAATATATCGGCAGAAATGTTAGGTGAAAAAATACAGATATACATAAATTTATAAATGTAATGAACAGATACCATAAATTAACACGAAGGCATAACACCCAGTCTTATGATTCTGTTGAAAGGAAAAAAAGGCGTACATATCACTACAGATTCTAAAACATACGGCACGAAACACATTTACTTACTTGTGCATATACATTTACACACGTCTATTAGATGTGTACGTAAAGGAAAGCACTATTGGAGTGTCGAGTTCAAATTCTAGCCGAATCCAGTACGTTCGCTTTCGCAAGTTTGAATCCATCTCTTCACCTCCAAGCTAGAAGTTAATAGATGGGCAGACTAGTTTCTTTAGGTTTGGTTAGCAACCAGTATATGAGGTGGACAACTCTGAATCCAAAACCGGTTGAACGTGGGTCTAATAACTCCACCCCATAAAAACATAATTGCTATAGAAACCAGAGAAGCAACACCTAGCCAGTATTATACTCCACATGGAAGTCTATAGGGTTAATACATTTCTAACATAGACGTGTTTACTCAAAAAGCTAATATTTATTTGCTTGCCATTAGTCTAACAAATTTAATCTTAAACAACGAAAGATATTTTCTGTATAATCAATAAATTTTATTTACTTCTGATGATTAATGATGCACTTTGGCAAATGAAAGTCGCGAGTCGTCATTCACGCCATGTTCTCCAGCGCAAACAAATAGCATTTGGTGGTAGCTACAAAGGCAAGTATGAAGACTTAGGTCGATTGGAGAGTTGCGTTCGTCACTAGAACCAGTGCTTGACGTTCAAGCACTTGTAATTTTGAATGCTGATTCTCAAGGTAGTATCTTAGCACTTAGAAGATTGACATAAGTCAGTTTTTCTTATAACCATTTACACTCCTTTTGATTTCCTTCATTGCTGTGTGTATTACTTTTATGATTTTGGTCGGATTTGTATGAAAGGTGGAAAGACACTGATGTTGTAACCAGAAATCTCATAATTACTTGTGTTCCTTGGTTCATGAAGGTAGCAAATAAAAAAACATTGTTTCGATCGCAAGGAAAGACGGAAAGGACATATTAGAAACAATGTGTGGTTGGAGAGATGAGATAGAGTAGAGAGAAGAGACAGTGTGCGTGCCTGTGTGAAGAGAGGGCGGGAGGGAGGGGAGAGGGGGGGAGAGAGAGGGGGGGGAGAGAGGGGGGAGAGAGAGGGGAGAGAGAGAGGGGGAGAGAGGGGGGAGAGAGGGGGAGAGAGGGGGAGAGAGGGGGAGAGGGGGGAGAGAGGGGGGAGGGGGGGGGGAGAGAGGGGGAGAGAGGGGGGAGAGAGAGGGGAGAGAGAGAGAGAGAGAGAGAGAGAGAGAGAGAGGAAGGAAAAAGAAATGAAAGATGTTGTTCTAACGAAAGACGCTGATGTTACGATGACCGGAGCAGGTAAGCAAAGAGGAAGTCTTAAGGAAAATGGAAACAGAAATGGTACTTAGAATGAGAAAGAAAGAGTTGAAATTTCTAGAACATATTGAGGAAAGAGGGCTTGGATAATTTGATACTCACATGACATATCGATGGCAAGAGGAATATAGAGTAACATGTAACAACCTTGTGGAAATGAATGGCTGATTAGGGAATGAGAAGAATAGCAAAAAATAAAATTTAAAAAAGACTGCTTAGTGCTACAAAGGATAAGAATTTGTGGAGAGTCATGATTACCCACACTATGAATGAACACGACACACAAAATGTAGATTTGATGTATCGTGGCTGAAAATTGCAAGAAAGGAGAAATATTCAGGTTGTTGATATGGTTGCACTTTTTCTATGATAATGGATGTAACTTGATTTCAGTTAATGTCATTGCTTGATATATCATCATATATGGACAGTGTGAATGTGGCTCTTTAGTCCTGCTAGGAACATACTCAGTTGGGCAGCTGTGTCAACGTTGGCGCCTCTTGCATTAGTTGTTACAGTACTATTTTCGTTAACTTTCATGTCCATCTACTGAGACATTCTTTTCCACTGTCAGTGCAAGTAGAAATGCTGTGTAACGTGGATTTTATGACTTGTCTCTGTATGTGGCCTCTTAAGTTTTTTTTTTAGCCCCGTCCTATTTAGACGGATGGAACCACATTCATTACTCGTTAGATCAAAGTCTATTCCAAAATTTGCATTTAGTGTTTTGCCTTTTTCGTGTACGGTCAGTCACACCACGAAAGACATGATAAAGATGTTACAGTCAAGTGATAGCTGTGTATGAAGCTTTTAATTGAAGAATGGCTTTGCGCGTGAACACACACACACCTTTTTTTTTTCAAAGTTGTTTGATTTACTTTTATTTGTAGAAAAATCACGGAGTTAATTTGCAGTATTATTATTGCTCATTTATTTTAATTAAGTATTTCTTACAATTATTTATCAAGAGCGAATGTAAAGTAAAACTTTCCTTCCGGAATTGTTGAAATGTTCTCTGTTAATAGTAATCATTAGCTCAATCTTTTGCGTACAGTATTTCTCCTTTATATTAACAATCTGCCTAAGAACATGCTCAGATCTTTAGTGAATATCTATGCAAATGATACAACGTTGTATAGGTGAACCTCCAAAACTCTAGATAACAAGAACTTGACATCCGATCTCACCTCTGACCTAGCCCCAGCAGCCACATTTGGAGAGGACTGGGTTGTAACATACAATACCTTCAAAACCAAACATGTAACGTTCGTCCATTAGCGAGCAGACACTAAACTATCACGTTGAATGGTTGTACTTTTTTTTTTTTTTAAGCGTTTCACCCCAAGCAAGGCGAGAAACCACTAGGACGCAAGGGGTTACAGAAGATTTGGAGCAAGATCAGATAAGAGTGATAGAGGAAAGGACGAAGAGAAGGATAGTGGATAGATCAAGGCAACTGGAGATGTCGATTGACATTACATTTGAAAAGCTGGAGATTATATCTCTCAGGGAAACTGGAGTAGGGAAGGGAGTTCCACAGGCGAGAGGTGTGAGACATGAAGCTATTGGAGTAGAAGAGACGGCTACATTTAGGAGTTTCGACAGTGAAAGGGTGAGAGCGGGATGCCAGCCTCGTAGGGCGCTTGAACTCATGAAGTCTGGGAACCAGCGAATGCAGCTCCTCAGAGCAATTGCCATGAAAGTATTTGTAAAAAAGACAGAGAGAGGCGACGGTGTGTCTGTGAGAGAGTGACTGTAGATGAGATGCCAGAACAGGGCCAATTATATTGCATATCCGATCAATGGGGCTCCTTGCCCGGAACGCCTATTGGGACTCAGGCTATCCACAACCTAGAGTGTAAATACGACCCATTGCTAAAGATGCCGATATATAGTCCGTCCCTTATCGACGTAGTAAGTTTCTGACGCCTCCTGAAATGCTCTACCTTTACTAAATCAGACCAAAATTGGAGTATTGCTGCTATAATTGGACGGGAGCTGCCCTGTTCACACTTGCCTATCTTTATCAAGAATTTAAAAACGTCCATGTGGCCGATTTCCCACAGATGCAATATTGCAAGCCTTTCGTTGCTCTATCGCTATTTCCCTGGCAAAGTTCCACTAGTCCTGGCTTTCATCTTCCATTAGTAAGTAGGAAGTTCCATTCGAACAGCCTCTTTTGATACTTTGTGGAACAGACTCCCGATCACTACAAACTTCATCTCAAGTCTCTGGTGAATCGTTATCTTCCCGACATAACTCGATAAACTGCACTTCGTACCCCCTCCTCTTACGCACCTACAATATTACTCAATCTCTATCCTGAGTGGCTCTTGGAATTGTATTGAGTGACCACTAGTAAAAAGAAAAATAATCGCGTAACTTATTTATTCCTTCCTCTTGTTTATTTCTCTCCCCACCTCGTTATTAGTAGGTGTTAGTTGAGTTGGATAATCACTTGGAATCATCTGCTGATGATGTCTAGTTTCTTTATTTGGACGAACAATTCCAGAAGCATATGTACGACCCGAGATTGGTTCCATCCTTCAGGTCGCGACCATTTAGCAAACCACGCAACGACTAATGTGAAATGAGGTTTCTTTAGTTCCATTAACAATTATAAGGTTTCCATTTTTATCTATTTTCGGAACTACACTTAGCGTTTTAAAATACAATTACATACAAGTAGCGCAATAAAATTGCTCGTAATGTTAATGCGGATAATTCAATAATTAAACGTATTATATTCATCACTAAAATTTTACGTTTAGAATAAAATAAACCGGTAATTTTTTCTTATTGTCTAAAACAACGTCAGTTATTTTTTTAATTATTATTTAGTAGTACGAGTTAAAACACTTTCGCGTAAATCATTATAAAATGACATGTTTGTTGTTAGCATTCAAGCAATCCTAATAGAACTACTAACACCACTGTTACCGAACCGACTTCCAGAGATTAAAATTATTTTTTCTAAATTCAAGAGAATTAAAGATTGTTCGACAATAAAATATTTTTGCGTGTTCATATTCTAGACAAATGCGCGAAAGTTGAAATCAATGAAAAAATTCTGGAGAGAAACAAAAAGAGAGAGAGAAACAAAAAGAGAGAGAGAAACAAAAAGAGAGAGAGAAACAAAAAGAGAGAGAGAAACAAAAAGAGAGAGAGAAACAAAAAGAGAGAGAGAAACAAAAAGAGAGAGAGAAACAAAAAGAGAGAGAGAAACAAAAAGAGAGAGAGAAACAAAGAGAGAGAGAGAAACAAGAGAGAGAGAAACAGAGAGAGAGAGAAACGAAGAGAGAGAGAGAAACAAAGAGAGAGAGAAACAAAGAGAGAGAGAGAGAAACAAAGAGAGAGAGAGAAACAAAGAGAGAGAGAGAGAAACAAAGAGAGAGAGAGAAACAAAGAGAGAGAGAGAAACAGAGAGAGAAACAAAGAGAGAGAAAAAAAGAGAGAACAAAGAGAGAGAAACAAAGAGAGAGAGAGAAACAAAAGAGAGAGAGAGAAACAAAAGAGAGAGAGAGAAACAAAGAGAGAGAGAGAAACAAAAAGAGAGAGAGAGAAACAAAGAGAGAGAGAAACGAAGAGAGAGAGAAACGAAGAGAGAGAGAGAAAGAAAAGAGAGAGAGAGAAACAAAAGAGAGAGAGAGAAACAAAAAAGAGAGAGAGAAACAAAGAGAGAGAGAGAGAAACAAAGAGAGAGAGAGAAAAAAAAGAGAGAGAGAAACAAAAGAAAACAAAAAAAAAACGAGAGAACAAAAAAAAAAAAACGAGAGAAAGAAATGAGAAAAAGGACAAGAAAAAAAAAAAAAGCTCATGCGAAAAATTCAATAATATTTTTCAGGCAATATTTTCGGTTTAATCGTTTGATTTATAGAATATGTAGTTAATGTCGAATAAATCACAGCGCAAATATAAAGGGTTTGAAGGAATAGCCATTAGCGATATGCAGACTGTTTCAGTAGCGGAAGATCTCTGCCTTTTTCTCTATACATTCAGTGGTAACAGCGCATTGCAGTCAATATTAAACCATTATAGTGCAACGTAAAATTAGACATTAATTATAGAAGTTCAAACAAAAATATATATTTCTAAAAAAATCCTATTTTAAGCTTCTAGAAAGCAAACCCGGTTTTAATTAGTTTTCTATAAATTTTATTAATTACAGACTTTATAATAAACAAAATGGAATCATAGGTTTCTACTTATGATCCATTAACGCCCATCATTCTATGACCTTATTTTTGTGAGAGATGGGATGAAATTCTTGCTATTAGAGAAATTCAGTTCTTCTCAAACCAAAAGAAAAAGGGGCAAATAAAAACAATCATTGAATTCAAGCCAAAACCCAAAGCGAGTTTTGCGAAAGGATTGAAACGGGAACTTTACTTAAAAAAGCAAAAACATTATTTCAGCCGTAAAACAACTTTGTAGCCATTATAAAAAAAATCCAAACAAACTGTAAAATAGGATGTACTCTGTAGACTCCACCGTAAAGCAGAAGCTTACAACCTACCCACCCAGGGTGCGTGATTGTGTATCTAGAATTATTTAATGAATTATTTAGTTCAATATCCTCTAGTAAAAGACAACATTATTTTGAAATGACACTTGGCATATGTCTGAAACGTAATAAAAAAAAAACAATACGAAATGAAATAATTTATTTAAGGGATTCTAGAAAATCCGAAACATTATCAGACACGTTATTATAACAAAGAAAAGAGTAAGTGATGAAATAATGCTAAGACTTTGAGAAGTATATTTTTTTCCCATAAAATTGCATAATTTTACCAGACTGCTAAAAGTACGTCTTGATCTCTTTTAAAAAACTGAATTTGTAGAGTGTCTGAGGATTTGAACAACAATTAAACACTAGAAACTGGAATATTTTTTACTTTCAAGCTGGAATTAAACAAAAGACAAATTGAGTGAACACTTATATTGGAGGAATATTTAATCAAGAAAACCACTGCTTTCACTTTCATCTCTGGATAGTTTTGAAACACTAATTCATTAATAAAGTGACAAGGCGGCCTCTAACTTGTAAAATATTGTTCCCCAGTCAGTTCATCATTTTTAAATGCCAGTATCTTGTTTGCTAGAAACCGTTTTTTTAAAAATAGTATTCACTATCGGTAGACATATATCACTACAGTGTGAAAAGATGTAAAACTATAATTCGTTCAAAGGCGGGAATATAGTAATGTACTCAGCAGCAATTAGTTACTCTGACGCAAAACAAAACAGATGTAGCATAACTGAAGACAAAAGTCACTGGGACCGAAAAGCTTGTTTGCCATTACATTACGTCGAAGTGCACAAAGGCGGTAAAGTAAAATTGTACTATTTATATTTCATCATAATCAGCGACAGATATTATCAATATAAGACACTACGTTAGCGAGATATCTCGTCCACTGATATCGGGTAAAGGAATTTATTGAGAAAGAACTACTTAACCGATTTCAAGTGGTTAAGCTAAATTATCACCGCCAAGTCGGTCGATTGACGATGTTTAATAACTGATGCCATAAAATTCAGTTTGCTTATGTTGGGCAAATAACGGGTTTCCACCCATTTTATAATTTGTTTGTGTCTGGATTTTTTCTCGTTGGAACTTGTTTAACTAGTTTACATCTGGTTCACATCTGTTTGGTTTCGTACTGACTCATATCTGTTTGACGTCTGGCTTACGTAAGATTTTTACTTCTTCTCAGAAGTAGTACGTCAATGTGGCAGGTTGGAGTAAATACTTAAGTTTTATAAATATAAATCGATAGCAACATTAATTGATTACAAACTGAAGGAACACTTTCTTTGACCTGTTTTTGTAATTTAAAGTCCTTAAAATAGCAAACATCTTGAAACAGGAATTTTATAACAAACAGAGAATTCACAAACTTCACCAAGCAATACATGCTAAAATAAAACAAATATACGGACATTTCATTGACATGGATGCGAAGCGATTACTTAAAGAGAGAAAAGACACTTTCAGAACAAGTGTCTAAGAAGTATATTAAGATAAAAGTTAGAAAGAAAATACAAAAATAGACAATGGAGACTGTAGGAATAGTGATGGAACACCCACTTTGCAGATATATAAGTTGACATTACCGTTAATTTGGGGGAGGCGCCCAAAATTCATTTTCGAATTGAAGCGGTGGACTTCTCCCACTGATATAATTATAAAGGTGAAGGCTTGTGTAAGAGTAGTCAAACTCTTCAGAACTGGTTAAAAAAAAAAAAAAAAAGTAATGGGATGCCGTGTGTTACGAAGTCTCCAAACAGGTCTCAATCCAGAGTTTTCATTCGTCAAGGAAAAAGAGCTCAGTCTGTTCTGCTATTTAACTCAGTGGTAGAGTAAGATGAATTCTTGCATTTTCAGGGATATTGACGCGAAGCGACCGAAACAGAATTTGAACTCGACTCGCCGATTTTACTGTGCTGTTAACAGTCTCTCTCTCTCTCTATATATATATATATATATATATATATAAAATAAAAAAAAACAGTTTTAAGGTATGCTATATCTATGGGTGAAATTTTCCAGTATATAGGGATAGAGCGTATGGAGATATGAAAAGGGAAAATGAGGTCAACACAGAGCAGAGACGGTGTTTCATACTTGAACGCAATACTCCCTAAAGGAGGAAACACGACAAAAAAAATATTTCTCCCCCCTCACACTTTGTCATTAAATTGTCCTGTATATAAGAATTTATACGTATATCATCTTCCATTTGCTTGCACGCATATTTTATATATTACACGCACGCATGTGATTAATGCTGCAAATTTCTCAATAGTAATACAAATATTGACATGAATCAATATGGAACGTGACCCATGAGCAGAATTCCAACATATCTGTTAAATACTAATATAAGTACAAAAGAAAAAAAAAAAGAATTGTGTCAGTAGCGCGAAAAATATTTAATATTTTCCCACAATTTCTTTGCATTTTATTAATTAGAATTAAGCGATAGTAAATTTTAGCAAACGGAAGCGAACTGCTTGACATTTACACGCGAATGCCGACACACGTAAATAAAAATGTCTTTAATATTAGCGATTTTCGACCTGTGCAAATGATTTTAAAACAGTCACTCTGAAATATAAAGAGTTTGTCTTCATTTATACTGTCAAGTTTTTGTATTTTCAAAAACATTCGCAGTTGCTTCAAAAGGAAAAAAATGTCTAATGTCAATTCGCTCGTTAATTCGTGCAGATTTTAAGACATATACATGTTTAATGACTACAGTAATTTTTTTCCAGCATATAAGCTACATTTTTTTAAAATTTGCAGACGAGAATACCCCATGAAGATATAAAGGGGAAAAAACTTCAGATAAATCTGGAGAGATCATGTTATCAATACGCTTAGAACAATAAAAGCACCGGTATTCACATCACGTGAGGTATGCCACCCATCTCTTAGTGGAAGGCTTACACGTATCAACAAGAGATAAAGAAATGCAAAGAAATTGTTCTGCAAGAGAAAAATGGAGAAAGTCATAAACTAAAATGAACGGGGGGGGGATCCAGACAACGGTGTGCGAGATAAGAACAACGAAGTTATTCTTGTGAGGTCAGCAAACATTAGCTAATCCCAAATGCATTAAACAGAATACGCTTAATCTCAGCTCAAAGGCCTTTGTACAAGAAGAACGCTCGTAAAAATAACAATCAGAACATCCAAACTATGTTCCTCCTGTCTGTTCTAAACGCAAAGTTTAAGTGGTTCTCGGTAATTTGATCGCGTTACGGGCTAGCGTTATCGGTGAAAGTAAAAAAAAAAAAAAAAAACCTAAGAAATATCATGAATATGAATTACTTACTATTTTGAAATTTTTATTCAAAATAATCACTTTTAAGTGCGCGAATCCGGTTACAATTACATTAAAAAGGACGATGAGTGTTTTAGTGGTCTCAGTTTACTTTCGATGGACATAAAAATTTGACTCAGATATTTGTTTTTGCTCTAGAAACATTTTCAAAGACGCCCGAGCACAATGACAGCTGCAGCTAATATAAACATTTAAATAAAAGGTTAACCTTAGAATCCGAATTACCGGATAAGATCTCGTGAATTTTCAGATTTATTTCTTATTGATGTCTCCTTTATGCAAGACACCTCAAGCCTATTGATATTCATTTCACATGAGATTCTTGAACGGAACCCAAAGTTAATATTTATGTGGAGGCCTGCTTAGATTAAACGTGAATCCCTAAAAATACGGCAGAAAAATTCAACATTCTCAAAAGAAATTAATATATACATGAATCAACTGTAATAATTATGATAATCATATATACAGGGTGTCCATAGAGTCAGTGTATAATTTAATATTTACTTAAGTATTTTGAATTGTACACAGACTTTATGGACACCATATATATATATATAATTATATTTATATATATATATATATATATATAATTATATTTATATATATATACATATATATATATATTATTTACATTATTCAAACTATTGTCCTCATCTTTGTCGCCATATTTATTACATTTCGGCTGTTGTACGTTCCGGCCTTCTTTAGGTGGTTGGAATGTCAAATTGAACCCTTTATTTCGCTCACTGGGATAGACTGTTCTAGTTCCGCGTGCCATGTATAATGGATGTCAGTTGTCTCCTGTTAATTCCCCTCTCCACGTTCTCCACTGCCTTAAACGGGTATTGAACTCACACTTTTTGGGTCCTTTCACTGGATCTAACTAACGCCTTCATCCACTGTGCCATGTGTCCTATATATATGGTTAAAAAACAATTAAAATACAAAACCAGTTAC